AATTAAAGAGGGATAAATGTGATCAATAGTGGCTCATGTGTTGACTTTCTATTTTTGTTTAATTCTCATAATATCTTTGAGTCACTGATCACATTTTCCTCTAAATGATTCATCTTAGTCGGGGACCATGGGCAAGGAATGGATGTCCGCCAATCGTCTATCAAAAGAATATTGGGATGGGGTAGAAGATTTTATTAAGTTTGCGATTGAGCACGCCGATGATCGCAACAGGATTATTTGCCCCTGTCTTAAGTGTTGCCTTTTGAAGTGGGTTTCGCCATCCGATTGTGAGAGCCACTTAATTATCAATGGAATTGATCAAAGTTACAAGTGTTGGACAAAGCACGAGAGACAAGAGATGTGAGTAATAGTAGTCGAGGGCATAGTGAAAGCTGTGGATCATCTAATCTTGACATGAGTACATGTGAAGCTGATCGTCTTGAGGAGATGACAGATGCGATTGAACGGGAACTTGACGATTGTCCTGAAATGTTTGATAGATTGAAGTGTGATGCTGAGACACCTCTATATGAAGGTTGTACTGATTTCACAAAATTGTCTGCAGTGTTGAAACTGTATAATTTGAAAGCAAGAAATGGGTGGAGCGACACAAGCTTCACAGAACTGCTGTTGCTTGTTAAACAAATGCTACGAAAGAAAATGAGCTTCCAAGTAAAACGTATGATGCAAAGCAAGTGTTGCGCTCTGTCGGCCTCAGCTATGAGAAGATACATGCTTGCCCCAATGATTGCATTTTGTTTAGGAAGGAGTATAAGTCACTAACTGAGTGTCCTAAGTGTAATGCATCACGCTACCAAGAGAATGGGAAGAGCCCGAAGAAGGCATTATGGTATTTTCCCATAGTGCCAAGATTCAGACGCTTGTATAGTAATGTAGAAGATGCGAGAAATTTAAGGTGGCATGCAGATGAAAGGGTTAAAGATGGCATGCTTCGCCATCCTGCTGATTCTCCAGAATGGAAGAAGTTTGATATTGAGTATCCTGAATTCGGGAAGAAGATAGAAATCTACGCCTTGCATTAGCCACCGACGGAATGAACCCTTATGGGATGCAAAGCAGCACCCATAGCACATGGCCAGTGATTTTGTTTATATATAACCTTCCTCCATGGCTATGCATGAAACGCAAGTATTCAATGATGTCTATGATAATCTCTGGGCCAAAGCAACCGGGAAATGACATAGATATATATCTAGCTCCATTAATTGAAGACTTGAAAGTATTGTGGGAGAATGGAGTTGATGTATATGATGCATATAAGGAAGAAACATTCAAGTTGAGAGCTATGTTATTTGGCACAATTAACGACTTTCCTGCGTATGGTAATCTCTCAGGGTATAGCATTAAAGGACAACTTGGTTGTCCCATTTGTGAAGAGAGCACAGATTCCATAAGGTTGAAGCATGGAATGAAAAATTCATATATGGGACATCGTAGATGGTTGCATCGTGATCATCCTTACCGGCGATTCAAAAAATATTTCAATGGGAATTCAGAAGAAGGTAAGGCACCAACACCGTTGATTGGGGAGGATGTATTTCAAAAGGTGAAAGATATAGATTGTGAATTTGGAAAACCTTTTGCGAAGCATGTTGGGACAAGTGGGTGGAAGAAGAGGTCTATTTTCTTTATACTGCCGTATTGGATAACCCTGAATGTGAGACATTTTCTTGATGCTATGCATATTGAGAAAAATATGTGAAAGTCTGTTTGGCACATTACTCCATATTCCCGGGAAGACTAAAGATGGCATAAATGCCAGGCTAGACATGGTTGAAATGGGGATAAGGGAGGAATTGGCACCAGAGGATAAGGGAACTCGTACATTTCTTCGTCCGGCAGCTCACACCCTTTCTAGAAAAGAGAAAAGTAGTTTTTGTGAGTTTCTTGCTTCAGTAAAAGTGCCGGAAGGTTACTCTTCTAACATTAGTAACCTTGTGTCAATGAAGGATATGAAGTTAAAAGGTTTAAAATCTCATGACTGTCATGTCTTAATGGAAAACTTTATTCCAGTGGCAATACGGGCTATTTTACCTGATAAGGTACGAGTTACGATCACAAAGTTATGTTTCTTCTTTAAGTCTCTTTGCAGCAAAGTGATTAATCCTAGTAAATTGCCAAGATTGCAAACCCGAATCATAGTTACGTTATGTGAACTTGAAATGTATTTTCCTCCGGCCTTTTTTGACATCATGGTCCATTTAACCATCCACTTAGTTAGAGAGGTCCAACTGTGTGGCCCAGTGTATTTAAGATGGATGTACCCAGTTGAGCGTTACATGAAAATATTGAAAGGGTATGTGAAAAATCGAAGTCGGCCAGAGGGTTGTATTGTAGAACGATATATTTGTGAAGAGGCTACTGAATTTTGTACCCATTACTTAAAAAATGCAAGTGATATTGGGGTTCCAATGTCTCGTCATGAGGGAAGGACAGATGGAGAAGGGATTATGGGAAAGAAAGTTGTAACTATTTCAAACCAACAGTGGGAGCAGGCACATCTATATGTATTGCACAACTCCGAAGAGATTGAGGACTATGTGCATGAGCATATTGATGAGCTAAAGAGGGATAATCCCAATAAACTTGAAAGTTGGTACACCAAAACACACAATAAACAATTTACAGCATGGTTGAGAGAGCAGGTGCATGGCAAGTATAATAATGATCCTAATTCTGTTTTGAAGAAATTAAAGTTGTTGGCAGATGGACCGAGCAAACATGTGATTTCTTTCACAAGCTACCTTATGAATGGGTTCACTTTCTATACTAAACAGCAAGATGATCGGAGTAAACAGCAAAATAGTGGCGTAACTCTTGTAGCTAGTACCATGCATATATCGAGTGCCAAAGATAAAAATCCTATCTATGCACGTATGTCATACTTTGGAGTGATTGAGGATATTTGGGAGTTGGATTACATTGAATTCAGAGTTCCGGTATTTGGTTGCAAATGGGTGGATAATAATAATGCATTGAGGATTGATGACTTAGGGTTCATACAATTGAATTTGAATAAAGAAGGATACAAGGAAGAGCCATTCATTTTGGCTTCTCAGGCTACGCAAGTGTTTTATGTCCCTGACCCGGCTGCCAAAGGATGGTCTATTGTTTTGTTGACTAATAAAATGAATATTGAAGAGACGGGGTATGAAGACAATGCAGTTGAAGATCCATTTCAAGGGGCCTCACTTGATTCTCATTTAAATGAAGATCAATCCATGTATGTCAGGCATGATCACAACGACGGAATATGGATTTCAAAGAGGGGGAAAGTGTTTCGTAAGAAGATCAAAACAATTCAAACCAAGAAGAACATGCAAAAACATAAGAGTAGAAAAAGAAAAAGATCTTCTTAAACATGCATGTAAATTCTCTTATTATTTTCTTTGATTCTTTTATTTATTTTAATTTTGTTCAAGTCAATTTGTCATTAATGACTTTATTTTCATTTAATGGATTCTGATTCATTTTGTTTACTTGAATTTCATTGCAGATGGCAGACGATAGCGGATCTAGCACTGATAACCCATCTCAGCCGAGAGATGCCTCTGAGCAGGAGAGACAGTTGCAAGAGGAGGCAGCACGCATACAGAGGGGCCTTTGTGTCATGCAAGAGGTCGTGAAAGCTCGAACAGAAGGAAAGAAATTTGCCGTACAGTGGAATAAGAAAGGACAAGATGTACGGTTAAATAAATTTATCAGCTATATTGGGGCAGTGGCACGAAGCACCGTGCCCATTACAGCGCAGCACTGGAGGAGGGTTGATCGTTCAGTGCGAGACACTATTTGGACAGATGTATCGGTAATATATTATAACAACTCAAATTTCATTTTCTTACAAGCTGCGTGACACTAATGTGTTGTTTTATATGTTTTGCAGTCTGCATTTGATATAGATAAGAGCAGGAAGAAGTTTGTGGAGGGGAAGGCTGGGAGGGCACTGCGCTCTTTTCGATATTTTGTGACACACAAGTACTTGAAGGATCCTTCCACAGCCGACAAGTCCCAGGTTCCTAGCTTGATACGGGACTTGGTCAAACTAGAGGATTGGGCTGCTTTTGTGACGTCACGTCGTGATAGGCAATTTCAAGTAATAATCCTCGCTCTTTTTGATATTAAATAGTCCATTTTGTTTAATCTATATATTGTTTAATTGTGAATCTACTTTGTTTTTGCAGGAATTAAGTTCCCAAAATAAGGAAAGGGTAAAGAAGAATGAGTATCCCTACCGAAAGGGGCGCTTGGGTTATGCGGGCCTCGAGCAAGAGGTGACTCAAAGGAGGGATCAGATGTCACTGTATCCCGTCAGATGCTGTGGGCACTGGCCAGGCAAAATAAAGATGGCCAAATTGATAATCCTCGCGTTAAGGAGGTCGTGGACAGGATGGTGAGTATTATTCTAAATTAAATAATCCTCACGTTATTGTCAAATATCTTTAAGTATGAATAACTATATCAATGTTTGTTGCACAGGAGAGTTTGTCCAGGAAGTTTCGCAGGGGGCATATTCTGCAGATGACCAGGATATATTGAGGAGGGCATTGGGGACTCCTGACCATCCTGGTCTTCTTAGGGGCGTCGGTTATGGAGTCACCAAGAGAGATTACTTCGGGTACCGACAAAAGCCCTCTTCATCATGCACGCCTTCCTCTGCTGAGTTCATGGAGCTGAAGGAAGAAACACGCTGGTTAAAGGAGCAAGTTAAAGCACAAGCGCTCCTAATCGAGCAGTTGATCAAGAATCAAGCACCACAGCCGGCTCCGAATCTCAGCCCAAGTGGCAAAGATAGCTGCACATTCCCCTTGCTACCTGAGGTATAATACTTGTGTTTATATAATTACATTCAATAATTTATATATCTAGCTAACTTGTCTCTCATGTTAAATCAGGGTGAAGCGGACGTTCAGTGTATGGCGGATAGCCCTAAACATCACACTGTTGCAACGGGCCGCATGTTCAATTTATCGGGGGAGAGTATGATTCATAATGTGCCTCTCCCTGCTGATCATGTGAGGGTGAAGTTGAACACTGCTATTGATGCAAATTATGCCCTCCCGATACCCACCCCAGATGCAGAGACAGTGGCTCAAGCAGTGGGTAGCTTTGTCGCTTGGCCTGGCCGTCTTCTTACATTAGGACATCCTTCAAAGGTATATATGTATAGGTCTACAAATTCAGCTGATTTAAAATAAACTCTATTTTAATTACTAACAGTCTATTTGTCAGTCTAAGGGAAAGAAGAGCCTATTGGGTGATCACTCATTATCATCACCACAGAAGCAGCCCTCTGAGCCCGTTCAAGTGGTATCATCAAGATTCCGAATATGTCTTGAGGAATATGCGATTGGGGCCAGATTAGAACATGGCGAGGATTTCATGATTCCCCTAGAGTTTGAGCCAGAGGTATATAGTCGACCCTCGTCAGATTATGTCACAAATGAAGTATTGAAAGAGATTCTGACACATGGAATGGCCAGCACAAATGCCTGTAACTTTTATATCAGGTATTTGTTAAAACCTTAACTAAATACTTAAGTACTTGAACATTTATCCTATTGATATCTTCGTTTGTTGATTTAGATATCTTTTCAAGAACTTCATAGCCCCTGGTGGCCTTGATGACAAGTTCAAGATTATCAGCCCCCACACTTTTACTGGCCACAAACCTGATATGAAGAAAGACTTATCCAGAGACTTGTTGGATATCTTCATTTCTAGGGCAACACGGGGGGTTCAGACTTTGTTTTTGGCGCCTTACTGTCAAGGGTAAACTTTCCTAAATTCTTTCATTTTCAAAATAATTTGTAATAGTTCTAATTGTCTTTCTTATACTTAGGGGACACTGGATGCTGATTGTGGTCAATCCCACAAAGCCGAGGATTTGGTATCTTGATTCTCTTCATGGGGATCCAACCAATCGACCATTTATGGTTTCATTGTTCAACAAGTAATATTTATCTCTATTATTTAAATTTAATTTAATTTCTTGCTTCAATCAAATTTTTGACAATCATTAATATTCAATTTTATTGTATTCTCAGGGCTTTGTGGCTATACCACACAAACCAGGCCTTACCCTGCCCCCCGGTAAAAAACGGCCAATTTGACGATACCTTCCCGTGGAAGAAAGTGAAGGTATTCACTACCATTATTTACTATTCTACTAAATATGGTTTATTTATATGATTGACTAATATTATTTCCTTTTCCATTCTTTACAGTGCCCACAGCAGCCCAACAAGAGCTCCCATTATGGATATTGCGTGATGAAATTTATGAAGGAGATAATTCTACACAATGTTGACACAATTCCCACGTAGGTAATATGCATTTGTTAAGGTTCAATTTATATATTTAAGAATTATTGTACTTACTATAGCTTTATATTTCTAACTTAAGTCATAATTTGTGGTTGCATACAGTACTTTGCCGACACATATTGCACAGTGTATTCATCTGCTCAGATGGAAGAAATCGTTGAGGAGTTGGCGATGGCCTTATTCCGTCAGTGGGCACAACATAGATAGGGAAGTGTACATTAAGACAGTGTATGTACGTACAGCTAGCTTTGGTTTCAATATAATTTTGGTTTTGGTTCATTTTTGGCTGTTGGTTAGTTTTAGGCATTGCACAACTTTGGCAATTGGCTAATTTTCGAATTGGTTCACCTTTTGTACTTGCCAGAATTTTAATATATCATAGTTGGTTTTCATTGGTTCATGTATATATATGATAATGTAAATTATTTTTGGTTCATTAAGATATATGTATATGGCTGAATTAGTTTGAATGCTGGCCTGTATGATTCTGTTGAATGAGCCTTTGTTATCGGTTTCAAAATTGCAGGGGGCTGCTGGCAAAGGAGAATGAATATATAAAAAAAAACCAATAATACTTGACGGTTATTAGTTAAAACCGTCAAGTATTCTAACATACTTGACGGTTACTTTTGGAACCGTCAAGTATTAAAGAATACTTGACGGTTTTTCAAAAATAACCGTCAAGTATGTTTCATAATACTTGACGGTTACTTTTGGAACCGTCAAGTATACTCCCAAAATAATTGACGGTTTTTCTTTAATAACCGTCAAGTATTCAGAACTTAGTTTACGCTTTTTCTGAAAAACGTTGAATAATAATTGACGGTTCTTTCTTTAAAACCGTCAAATATTTGTTGTTGAAATATATGACGCCAGTATAATTGACAGTTTTTAACTGTCAAATATGATCCAAAATAACTGTCAAGTATTTTTCATTTTGTAGTAGTGATTAAAATCCATGAATAGTATTTCTTCTATCTAAATATAAGATCCATTTTATAGTATAATTTATATTACAAAATAGGTCTTATATATTTAGGATTGGAGGAAGTACTTTCTTATGCATTCACTCCCTCCACTTCAAAATACAAGTTTTAAATAACTAAATTACATAATTCAAAAAGATGGTCAAAATTAGTTGAAGACAATAAATGTAACTTATTTTTCTAAAACGCCCTTAATTATGCATAACGTGATCATGAGTGGGAGAAAGAATGAGTGAAAAAAGAGATAAGAGATAATGGGTCAGGAAAAAGAAAAAAAAAGATGAGAGACTAGCAGAAGGAACTAGTTCCTCAAAACATAGCAAACTAGGCTCAAATTCTCATTAGAAGAGATGCCTATAGTTAATACCTAACAGTGCCTCAAATAGAATAAGAAAATACTTGCATTTAGTGGGGGGAAGAAAAGAAGAAGGAGGAAACAACGCCTAAAGTAGACCCAAATGAAAGCAACATATGCGATATAGCAAAGCTAAAGCAATGAAAATGCATGGAATAACTTTGAAATTAACATTAAGAAATGAACATATAGCTTACTTTAACTTCGGAATTAGTACATCCATCATTCAAGAGCTCAAGTAAAGAACAGATTCTTATCATGCCTTTATTATCTACCAACAAGTTTGAGCTTTCTTCATATACTCATTCACATTCATCTCTTGTTTGTTCATCCTTGCTTTGTGCTATTTTGTTACCTCCATCAAATTTGCAAAAACATTAATTTAGTCACTGTTCGAATTCCTGAAATATCATCAAGGTCATCTATATATTTTACAGGTAATTAAATATTAGCCATCTTAGAGATGCGTTTGTTTTATTGATTCTTAAAGAATAATTTGTTTTCAGTGGACTTAAATTTTGTTTATTTATTTAATGCCTCTTCGTTTGCACTTTTGTTTCTTTTAATGTATTTTCAGAAGAAGATTAAATCATCTTCTTTGTGCTGATGATCATCAACTCATATTGAAGGTAAATTAAATAACAGAAAATAAGTTGTATATTTTATGTACTGTTGATAAATTACATTTCCTTTTATAAGAGAACATTTGATCTTCTTGCTTTATTTGACATACGGTGATTTTTAATTTTTTTTTAAACCAGTTTTTGTTTTAGAAAACAAAAGAAAATTAAAAAACCATGTTTGAAAATGTGTTTTCACTGCTAAAATTTGTTCTGAAAACAAAGAAATCAGAACAGCTTAATAATATTTTGTTACTTTTTGCTCTAAAAAATTAAAGAAGGGTGGTCAATGTTCTCTTTAGAGCACAAAGTAACAAAATATTAATAAGCTGTTCTGATTTCTTTGTTTTCAGAGCAAAAAAATTAAAGAGTAGTCAAAGAACATTGGAATAACAATTACGCTAATAATTTATTCCGGCATAAAAAAAATTCACGCTAATAAAGCAAACTATTCAAGTTACCTTTCACATTACCATTATAACTTTTTAAAATAATGATTCAAACAGATTTTTTTCTTTAATTTTTTGTTTTCAAAAATTATTCTACAGAATTGTACTGACAATATAAAAATATATTAATAGAATCAAACAAGCCGCAAAATATGAAAGTCAGAAGGAATTCAACTTTTTTAAAAGTTTGACATTATTGTAAACGACCCAAATTGACTTGTAAATATGGGTAGTTTGACATGAAAATAAATTGTTAAATTTGATGTGTAAATGACACAATTGACTTTCAAATATACAAGGTTAATTTGTAAATATGATATTTTTGGGATCTATCTGTATTTAATTTTCACACTTGGTACCTATGAGTGATTTTCCCAGCTTTTCATATGAAGTTTGGGGAAACAGAATTATATAAAAAAAAAATTACAATTTTTTGTCTCTTTCTTTTGAATTTCACAATAAATTTACAATTCAAACTCTTTAAAATTTAAAATGGATATAATATCATAGGCTTAATTAAAATGAATCATTGTTTGTTTCTTTTTCTTGAAGGTGGACATGGCAAAATTTGATTCCAGGATCATTTAGTTTCTTTTCCTGTCTAATTTGATTGCAGAGTTTGAGGTAATTAACTAAGTAAATATTTTATTTTATTTTATTTCACTTGTTTGCTAAGCTTATGATTATACAATTAAAATCCAGGTACAAAAAATACCCAAGGATTTTTCCACTTAAATGACTTCTATAATATTATTTAAATAACAGTTAGTTATATACTTTAATTTGGAGCTAAGTTATACAATTTGAGAAGGAAACTTTAGGTTAACTTTATTATATCCATTACGTGAAGTTCTTCGATTATACATAGTAGCGTATTATGTTTTTTTTTGTTTCATGTGGACTTATAATTAAATGATACTATTTTAAAAATAGGATGAATAATCTTGTATGATTAAAGAATTTAACATAATGGATATAAAGAAATTTGAAGTATTGTCCGAGAAGGAAATACGTTAAATCCTCTTTAAGAAAAAATTTCTCCATTTTGTTATATTATTTTTAAAGGTATTGATTAATTTACATTGTTGTCTATAATTTCTTCCAGTATACTATAATTAACTTGAGAATTCCTGTTTTTCTTGTACTCTCATAATTAAATAGTTTCAGTTATTATCCTTCTGCATTGGTTTTTGGCTCAAAAGATAATCCTTTTCCAGGTAATTTATCAGATTATCATTTCTTTTTTTTTTTTATCTCCCTTAACAATTTTTTTCTTTTATGAAACACCTCGTTTAACTCTAATTCCTTTAATTAGCATGAGCATATTAGAAGTAACACATTATTGATTTTGATGTTATTATTTAGATTTTGTATTAGTTGGCAAAAAACAGAAAAATGAATACTTTTTACTTGATTTTATATTTATAATATGAGATATGCATTGCAGTTTTTCCTTTCATATCATATTATTGAGAGTTTATCTTTCAGTTACATAAATAACAATTATTACAAAAAAAATGTAATTTTGAAATATGATGAACAATAAATTTAAAATAAGACATTCATGAATATTTTCTAGTTTAAAAAAAATGAGGTATTTTAACTTTAATTTATCTTATGTTATTTTCACTTACAATCGCGGTCAAGGAATAAGGAAATGTGTGAGCAGATTTCAAACTAGAAATCATAAAAGTTTCCTTCTTTTTTCTTTTTTTTTTTCAAAGTGTAAAGTTATACTACATATAAATCTAAGTAAAGAATAATTTCTTTTCTTTTTTATTTTAATCTTTGTTATTTATTTAAAGCCTCATAGTTTCACACTCTTGTTTCTTTTCTTCTTTTTTCAGAAGCAGTTCTAATCATCCTCCTTCTGCTTCGCTTTCCATTAATTCTTTTTCTGCCTTAAAAAACATCAAAACTATCTCAATTCATATTTCAGGTAAATAACAGTATATAAGTTATTTATTTTACATGACCATAAATTATACTTCTTTTAACAAGAGAACATAATTAAAACAGTGTGTAAATGTGATCCTTTTTTTGGGCAAAAAATGATATCTTTTTTCTTTGTTCTTGGAGTCTATGGTAAAAAATTTGTTTTTGGCTATCGAGATGATAATGAAAAATAAATAATTTGAACATTGTAATAATACTGGACCAAATTTTATATGACGTCTTATGATGTTTTGGGAAATATAGGTAAAAAAAAAAGTTAAAAATATGATTTTTCTTCGTTCTTGCGTTTGAATTCCACACAAAAATATTTGGTACTAACTTGTGATACTTACTTTCAATCAGATTAGAATGTTTTCTTACTTTCAATCAGATTAGAATGTTTTCTTAATATGTGATTCACCTTCTAACTAACTTTTGCTCTTAATACTTGTATTTTTTAATTTTTAAATCAATTTATTTTTATTTATTGGAAACAAGTTCAATTATGTAATGTTAAATATCTGTGTTTTCTCTGTTCTACGATAAGCTTACAGTTGTTATATATATATATATATATATATGTATATATATATATAGAGAGAGAGAGAGGGCTAATGGTGATTTTTGCCCTTGTAGTATATATCCACCAAGGAATTATGCGTATTGGAAAAAAATTTTTAGTTTAACATCACTCTAAAAGTATTTTAAAAAGAGCAACACTGTTCTAACTATTGAAAAAAAAAACTTAGTATGTTAACATCCCCTTAACAGTTAGGAGTGACTATGTTATTTTTTAACACTTCCAATGTGACACTGAGATAAAAAAAAAAAAAAAAAAAACGTTTGGATGCCCGAAGCTTCTCGCAAATATTTTCAGAAAAAACCATTTTATAGGTACCTATAGTTTCTCTTAATTTTTAATTTAGCATCTGTGTTTTTTTCTCTTAATTAAAACACTTAAGTTTTACTTTGTTAACACTATTAATCTTTGTAATTTTGCTTTGTTAGTACCGTTAGCCCCTATATAGAAACTAACGGTATTAACAGAACAAAATTAGAGTAATTAATTAGGAGAGAAAGATGCACAAGTGGCAGATTAAAAATTGAGTAAAAATATGTGTACTCGCAAGGCTGCAACCGTACTTTTTGGGCAGAAATGACCTTTCACCCACACACACATATATATATATTATATTGTGATATTGACATTTCTCTGCAAGTCGCTGTTGTTAATACTCGGTCGTTTAGTGCTTTCCTTGAATTCCTAAAATCAATGTCAATGGTAAATTTTGATTTGAAGACACTCCGTTTTATTTGGTTTTAATCAAAATTTCATTAGAAAATTAAAAATGAAATCTGTTAGATGTCAATTTTTGTGTATTACATTGTATCTATATTAATTGAAATTTACTACTGAATCTGATGAAATGTCTATTTTGGGAAATATATACTAGTGAAAGAAATCAGATTATTTTAAAGTTATGTTATTCATTAAAATCTAACCTAATTATCTAAACTTTCAGACTATAAAAGAGTAATAATATTCTCAAATTAAAGAATACTAGTGCGTTAAACACTTAATTTGTAGGTGCTTTCGATATTATTCTGAATTGATGTTATTGAACATGGTTTTGATCTAAATGAACTATTTTAATTTAAATCACCCAAATCTTGAATCATTCAATTTTCAGTTTTAAGTTAAATATGTATGTATCAATTTGCATCATGATTATCTTAGGCTAAAATTAATTAAAAAAAGATAATTTTTAATTTGGTATGTCTTTTTGCAAGTTGCGCGCTGATATATTGGACAATCTTTGAAAATTTATATATATATATATATATATATATATAATAAGTTTGTACTAATTGGGTGAATTGTTTTTTGCTATTTTTCTGCAGCTGGGTATCTCTTAATTAATTTCATTTGAGAATCACTCTGTGCACATTTCTGCATTATTTGTCTAATTTCATTACGATACTTGAGGTAAGTAATAATGATTATATCAGACTAACTCGTCCCGCCAAACTCCTTATTTGCTTGTATTTTTATTTTTATTATTATTCGCAATGAGTATAATAATAAGGGAATAACTTCGTAATCACCAAATGAATTGGTACATTGGTAAAGAACTCAAGTAAAGAATAATTTATTTTTACTTTTTGTAACTTTAATTTTTTTATCCAAAGACTCTTAGTTTCGTTATCATCTTTTTACTTTACATGTCTATTTTATGTCTTTATCCCTTCAAGGGTCTCTTGTGGGCCTTTATTTATGTATTTATATCAATATTTGAAAAAAAACTAGGGGAGTGAATATTTTATTATTAGCAGATGGATTGCATTCAACACTAATTAATTGTTCATATTGTTGTTCTTTTTAGTGCTGCATCATATGAAGGGAGAAACATATATGTTAATAAATTATGCTATATATCTTGCTTTGTCATAAAATATTTATCGGTTTTTCATGAGATGGATGGTGATATAAGACTAATTTTATTAGATATACATTGTCTCAATATATATATATATTCTCTGGTTATGATTGCTTGATTGTATATATGTTTTACGTATACAATGGACTTGTATTAGGGATGATTACTCATAACATAAATGATGATTGCATTAGATGGAAGACATTGTCATTGGTATCGGTGGAAAGGTTGCAGAATGCTTGGCAGGTCCAATTCTAGATCGTGCTCGCTATTTATTTTGCTTCAAGAAATTCATTGGAGAGCTTAAGGAAGCTGAACATGTGCTGAAAAGAAGACTGGAAGAAGTGAAGGAGCGTATAGAACAAGCTGCTCGAAATAGTGAGGAAATAACGCTACCTGTGAAGAACTGGTTGAATGACGTGGAGAAAATTCTAGAGAATGTGTAAGAGTTGCAACAAAAGGTTGAAGAGGAAGGAAAGAGTTGTTTCAATGTGTCTCTCAAGTATTCCTTAGTAAAACAAATGGATAATAACGCAAAGAGGATGATGGAGCTAAAAAAGGAGTCCTACTTTGAGAAAGACCATTTTTCTCATCTAATCCAACTTCCTGGCATCACTTACTTCTCTTCCAACGACTTTGTGGATTTCAAGTCAAGGGAATCTACTTATAAGCATCTTTTAGAGGCAATTAAAGATGGAAAGAACAAGGTGATCGGACTCTGTGGTATGGGCGGTTCGGGTAAAACCACTTTGGCAAAAGAAGTGGGGAAGGAGGTGGACAAGTTGAAGATTTTTGAAAAGGTCATCATGGTCATTGTTTCAAAACCTCTAAATGTTACAAAAGTCCAGCAAGATATAGCAGAGCAAATAGATTTGAAATTTTCAGAGGAAACTCCATTGGCCAGAGCACAAAGGCTGTCAAATGGATTGAAAAATAAGAAGATTCTTATAATCTTGGATGATGTGTGGGAATATCTAAAGTTTGAAGATATTGGCATTCCACTTGTGGAAGGTTGTCAGATCTTGTTAACAACTCGCCTTCGCAATGTATGTGGCTCTATGGGTTGTGAGACTATTGAACTGCCTTTGATAACTAGGGAGGAAGCATGGGAATTATTCAAGAAGCATGCAAATCTATGCAGTGATTCCTCTAATATGTTTGATGACATAGGAAGGAAAATTGTTAACGAGTGCAAGGAGCTACCGATTGCAATAGTAACAGTTGGAAGGTCCTTAAAGAAAAAACCTATTAGAGCATGGGAGTCAACACTAAGGAGACTACAACGCAGTCAGCCGTTAAATGTTGAAGAAGGTTTGACCAATGTTAATGCATGTCTAGAATTGAGTTATGATGGTTTGTCAAGTTCAATAGCCAAGTCACTCTTCTTATTATGCTCTATGTTCCCTGAAGATCATGAAATTCATAGAGAGGATTTAATTCGATTTGGTAAGAGGACACTTGAGCTAGAGGAGTCTATTGTCACAATGAAGGATGTAAGGGGAGAGATTTTAGATGCTCTAGACATCTTGTTGGATTCTTGTCTGTTGATGAGTATAGAAAAGGAAGCATATGTGAAAATGCATGATTTAGTTCGAGATGTAGCTTTGTGGATTGCAAAGAAGCAACGCCAAGCAATTTTGGTGGATGACCAAGCAATTTCAAGCATGTTCATTGATAGCTACCAAAGTTTGAAAGATACAAAGGCAGTGTCATTATGGAATTTGAATATGGATTTCGAGCTCTATAAACAATTGCATTGTCCAAAACTTGAGATTCTGCTACTTCAACCTCATGGGTTTATTGCAAGTATCGGAGCAATAGAATCACTCAAAGTCTTGGCACTCATAACAGATGGCTTTAAATGGAGCAGGCGGGGATCAACTTTTCGCTCAATCACTATCCCGCAATCAATTGTATCATTAACAAATCTTCACACCTTGTGTTTTAGAGGGAAAAAATTGGGTGACATCTCTTTTTTGTGTGAATTTAAAAGATTGGAGATTCTTGACTTACACAGTTCTCTATTTGATGAATTACCTACTGGAATTGCATACATGAAAATGCTGAGACTTTTGGATATATTTAGATGTCAAATTAAGAAGAGCCCTTTAGAAGTAATTGGAAGGTGTGAGCAGCTTGAAGAATTATACTTTTGGGATAATAAATACGGTGTTCCAAAAAATGTCTTCCTTTCAGGGTTGAAGAGGTATGTTCTCTATGACTCCACATGTAGTATAATTGGTGCATATGGAAATGACCCTTTTCCAGAATCTTTGGATAGTTGTGGTGAAGAATTAAGAGCTTTATCTATACAAGGCTTTAGAGTCTCTACTTTGAATTCATCAATGAAAGATCTCATTCTTAGAGCAAACCACCTTTGGCTAGATAATTGTGAGTGGGATTATGAAGATATAAATTTTCAGATAAAGCACTTAGGGGTATCATGCTGTCAAAAGAAAAGATTCATCATTGAGAACCCTGATATGAACATTCTTCAAACACAACAAGTGTTCTCACACTTGATCACCTTAAGATTGTTTGAAATGAGTAGTCTTGAACAAGTGTTCCAAGATTCATCTCTTAGATGCTCTCTTCCTATGTTACAAGAGCTGTGGATATGGAGTTGTCCTGAGTTGAGAATTTGTATCTTCTCGCATGCCACCATTACGAGCCTGCCAAAGTTGAGAGAAAACTTCATATTGATCATTGTGACAAAGTGAAATGGCTATTGTCTTGTTCCCTAGCTTCTTATTGTCCTTTACTGAAGGAAATAATTATAAGTAATTGCTCTGAATTTGAGAGGCTCATTGATGCAGAAGCTACACATGGAGATCTACTACTTCGTGATAAGCAATATTATCCATATGTAAGTATTATTCGCAAAATTCCTCTTGAATCACTTTGTATCTTTTCATTTAATTTTCAAACTGATTTTTCTTTGCTTTTCTCTTTTGATACATATAAATTTGATGTCCTTTTCTCAATTTATGTGAAATCAATGCCTTTTTATTTTAACTTCTGTGCTTAAAAAAAAACTAAAATCATGCAACTGCTAATAATTTCACACATTGTAGGTGATTTTTTCATTTGCTCACTCTGCCTTTTTTTTTTCCAAGAACAAATTGAACATATTACTTTTTTTCGTTTAATTTGAAAAATCTGTGCTCATGATCGAACAATATATATATATATATATATATATATAGATATAAGTATAAAAGACATACATTCTCATTAACCAACAATAGTCGTGTTACTTTTCTTTTTGTTTATTCTACCTCTACTTTCTTTTTAATTTAAAGATAGCCATGTTTACAATCGTATAATATATATTTATGTTTTAAAAAATATTCTTAGTAAGAGATAATAGTCATTTTATTTTTGACCTGAGTTCATTGTACCTATATGAGCCTCTTTTTATTATCAAGTTTTCCGAGCTCTGCATCTAGGCTACACGATAAAACTACTTTTTGGGCTTTTATTTATTTTCAGGATAACAAAATACTATTGCTTTTCAAGCTTTTTATTTTTTATATTAATTTTTTTGGCATCAGATATTAATAAATTAGCATTAATGCACTATCCATATTTTAAATGTTCTTTCTTTCTTCGTTTGGATTTTCCTGCCATGTTTTTTCGTGGATGTGAAAAAACACTTTTAAATTGTGTGTTTATATTTCAATTTTTGGTCAAATAATTATTCGTGTTGGTCAAGAAATATATAATATGTCTGGTTATAGAGATATATATACATATCATTAATTAAATGTCATAATGGAGGTTGAATGTAATCATGCAGCAAAAAATATATAGAATATTCGTTTCTTGGATACATGTTGAGATTATGTTATCACCGTTTAAAAAATACGTGAAATCAATTTCAAAATGAGGGCCAAGTGTTGTTTGTTAACATAAAATAGTTTTGTAAATCACAATTTCTCTCACCATGTACATATTAATTGTGGAAAGTAATTAAAGAAGCTAATATATTATAAATTAGTGTCGTTTCTTTCTTTATTTAAAGACTTTTAACTATGTAACAATGTTTGTATCATGAAATTCTATATCTTTGCACTACTGCTGGTCCTCAGTATAAAATATAGTTTGCAGTGCACTCCAATTGTGTATCTTTGTACTACTACTATCTTTGTAGTACTACTACTTATATTTTTCTTTTTCTTTTTGGAGTATAAAAAAATTATTTACAAATTGTCTTTGTTATTTCTTTCCACACGCGAATTTGATAAAAACTTTAATATCTTTTGTTCATTTTAATTTATTATCAAAAAATCAATCTCATTCTTCCCAACAGCACTTTAAATTTTTTGTTTTATATTTTTGTCTATAAAATGATTATTTAGGGTACCACATTTTAAGATAAATGTTTTTCTTAAATTTTCTTGTGGCATTTAAAAAGATCTTTCTTACCGTGCCTCTTTTATTGCTATTAAAATTTTTATACTTTCATTTCAAATTTTGGTAATAAAAAAGTCGTGCTTGTTACTATCTATATTTGCCTACTTGTTAAAAAGGATTATTTGCCAGCAATAGTTGGCAACAATTTATATATATAATATAAGAAATTTAATGGGTTCATTCTCCAATCTAATTAGAGTAAAAAGCAAGTTGTTACAATCAGTCCATTTCATAATTTTAATTTTAAGACATTTATAGGGAAAGGAAACGGACAGTGCTTATGTGGGCGTTACTGTGAAAAACTTCAATCAGTTGCAAAATCAGCAATCCTTGAGCCTTTTTCTAAGGTTGAAAAGTCTACAAATTGAAAGGAGTGGAAGAAAGAAAGTTATATTTGAAATTCAAGTGAAAGGAAGAGTAGAAGATGACAAAGAATCTATTAAAGTACAAGAACCTCTAAAGCTGAATTCAGAGTTGAGTGAATTAAAATTAGTTGGTCTATCATATTTGGAATATATTTGGAAGGGCCCCACCCAAATTATGAGCCTCCATAGACTTGAAAATGTTTCATTGCGGTACTGTCCAAAATTAAAAAGTATCTTCACTCTCGCTATTGTTGCAAGCCTTCCAGAGTTGAGAACACTTGAAGTATATTATTGCGGGGAATGCGAGGGAATATTTTGTGAAGAACCACTCAAAAACCTCTCTTCTTCTAATATTTGCTTCCCCAAAGTCAAGAAGATTGACATATCTGATTGCAACAAAATGAGATGGTTGTTATCTTATTCTCTAGCATCTCCTTGTCCTTCACTGGAGACTATACGCATACACAATTGCTTTGAATTTGAGAGGCTCATTGATGAAGAAGTTGCACATGGGGATCCATTACTTCATGATATGCAAGACTATCAACAGGTAAGTCTCATCCGCAACAGCTCTCTTGAATAATTGCATGTTAGAAATAACAATAATTTATGTATGTTGATGCATTTGCTAAAGTAGCCATGTTTAATTTACATTTCCCTTTTATTTGAAATTTTTTTGTTTGCTATCGTATAATATATATTTATATGATCATTAAAGATAAATTCTACCATAATTATTTTATTTTTGACTGAAATTTATTATACCTGTATAAACCTCTTTTTATTATTAAATTTTCTTAGCTATATATTTAGGCTACACGATGAAACTATTTTCTGAGTTTTCCTTATTTTCATGATAATAAGATATTATTGCCTTTATAAGTTTTTCCTTTTTCTTATTATTATTTTTTTAAATAACAACTTTTATTTGTCAGATGCAGTAACATTTTACATTTCTTATTCTGCATTTTGATCAAGGAAATGACTTTTTCATATTGCTTTTGCCATTAGGTATTTATTGTGGGAAGTGCTTATTCAAAGTTATTTTTATTCTAAAATAAATTAGTGTTGATGCATTATCTAAAAACTAAACATGCTTTAAGAGAAATATTCTTCCCTTTCAAATTTTTTCGCTATGCTTTCTTTTCTTTTTGATGTGAAAAAAAATACCTTTTTTTGTTGAAAATTAGGTTAACATTTCAATTTTTGTTCAAATAATTCTTGTTGGTCAAGAAATATATAATATGTGTACTTCTTGCTAAAAAACAAGATATATATTATTAATTCAATGTCATATAGTTGTTATAATAGAGAATTAATATAATCATACGACATTTGCTAGTCACATATTTTCCCATGTTATTATAAAGATTGATTGATTAAAAGTACGTTATTTTTATTTTGCCATGAAATGATCAATTCAGAAAATTAGTGTTGATAGAAGGTCTTGCTAAAGATTTCAAACATTTTGATAAAGTTTTTATTTCGTTCACCTACCTCTTTTTCATAGAATTTCTATTTAGCATTTACACTATACTGCTAAAAATTAAACTGCTCGAGTTTTTCCTTTTCTTTTTCTTTTTCCAGTACTACAAAACATTATTTACAAGCTGCATTTTATTTATTTATCTTTCCACATATGAATTTGATAAAAATTTTAATCTCTTTAGTTCATTTTAATTTTTTTGTCAAATAATTAATTTTATTTTTCCAAACAACACTTTCTGATTTTTATTTTTTATTTCGTCAAGCAAATAATTATATGGAATTGTATTTTGTTTAGAATAAGTTGGAGCTGATATAATATCTACAAGTTATGTACATATATACAATATTTGTTAAATTTTCTGTGGACATTAAAAAGGTACTTCTCAGTGTGCATCTTTTATTGCTATCAAAAGTTGTATGTTTTCCATTCAGCTTTTTTGTGAAACTAACTAGCATGTTTTAATCTCACAGCAACCTTTGATTCTTTTCCCCAAACTTAAAAAGATTGAGATATCATATTCCAACAAAGTGAGATGGCTGCTATCCTGTTCTGTGGCATCTCTTTCCTGTCCTTCACTTGAGACTATATCGATCCGAAATTGCTCTGAACTTGAGAGGCTTGTTGAAGAAGCATCATATGACGATCTGCTATCACTTCTCAAACTAAAGGAATTAACTTTGATTAAGTTGCCCAGATTGAGAGAGATTTTCAGAGGGGAATTTGAGTCCTTCCATGACAAACAAAAAAGTTCACAACACGTTAGTATTTTCTCTCACTACTTCTCAAACTAAAGTACTTAACCTTGTGGTCAGCGCTAAAATTGAGAGACATTTTCTCTCACGTGAGGGTTTAATTTTTAATGTTACATTGCCATTAAATTTATGCGGTTCATGTGCATATATAGTCCATATGTTGAACTTTCATCTAATCGTTGAATATGTTTACTTCACAGGAACATGAAAATGACACAGTGAGTGTGGTAAAGTCAGAATTATGTTTCATGTGGTTAGCTTACCTACCGGAATTAGAATATATTTGGAAAGATCCCATACAAATTTTGAGCCTCCATAGACTTGAAAGCATTAAACTGTGGGGATGCCCAAGACTAAGAAATATGTTCATTCTTGCTATTGTTACAAGCCTTCCAGAGTTGAGGTATCTTGATGTAATACGATGCAATGAATGGGAGGGAAGATTTTGTGAAGAGTCACTTAAGAATCTATCTACTACTTCCACTGTTTGCTTCCCCAAACTTGAGAGCATTCGTATAATTGATTGCCACAAAGTGAGAAGGGTGTTCTCATATTCTCTGGCATCTCATTGTCCTTCATTGGAGAAAATAACTATAAGGAATTGCTCTCAACTGGAGAGGGTTGTTGAAGCTTATGAAGGTGAAGTAGCTGCTCATCATCAAAGGCTGTTTCCTAAACTGAATTATTTGAGTCTCTGGAATTTGCCAAAGTTGAGAGAGATTTATGAAGGTTATGAATTTAGCCACCTTTCTGCTACTATAAGAATAGAAGATTGTCCAAACATATCAAAAATCTCAAAAATCCCATTAGAAGACAAGCCCTCGTCATCAGGTTCGTAGCTACACTCTTTCTTTCAAACTATTATCATATTTAATCAATGAAATAATTTTGTGCTTTACAACTTCTATCGTTATATGAAAAAAAAAAAACGGTCTTTTATTAGAAGGAAAAAAATTCTATCTTAATACCCACACGCACATCCCTCTAATTTTTTAATAAGAAATTGCAATCACTCCCAAAAAATTTTCCGTGTCTATATAATGGTCGTCATATCAAAATCATAATAATGTACTCATATTAAATAAGTCACATGTTATGGTAATATTAGAAGTCGAATAATTATATAGAACTCAAAAATAATTAATTTCCACCATTTACGCATTTTTAGCACATTATTTCTCATTATTATAAATAGTTAGCTCTAATTTAATACACATTATCTAAGGACAGTCTCGAAGACTGTGAAGAATAAACAAGGTTATTAATTTTTATTTTGTCTATATGTTCCATTTTGATTAAGCTGCTAATTAATTGTTTTTTTGTCAGTCTTGGAGATCAAATTGGAAAGTTAGACAATGAACGGCTGATGATGAGCTTTGGATCTTCCAATGGTTTCTTTATCTGCATTTGTGTCTTACTATGTTGTGTGTGAAAATATATTGGATTTGTATCAATGTATTGAAAATTACACAAAAAGATTAAAAAAAAAAACTTAAAATTTTAGACATACCCCTTTGAAGTTGTGTTTTATTTGAGTCTGTTGGAACTATGCAACTATACTCAAGATTGTACGCAAAATACAATAACGGTGTGGCCCTTGTGTGCACAGCTTATTTTATTTCAAATATTGTATCAATCAATGATTTCTTATGTTATCCTTTATTTCAATATCGCAATATAGTTGTTATTGTTTAAAAAAATACAATCACAATTCTATATTGATTTATATGTAAAAGAAATCATCAAAACAAAGGTTTTTCTAGTGAAAAAAAGGATAAGATACCTTTAAATTGTAGACAAATAAGTTTTGAAGGTCCCACCCATAATCTCTCTACACTTCTTCATCTTTCCGATGGATAAAGTAATGTTCATGTTTATAAAGCATTTTAAGTGAAACTTTATAATACAATCCATCAATTTAACAACTGTAAATAATTATAAATTTTTCAAGAGTTGCCTACATTTTGTATAAAAATTAGAACAATTTTAAGAGAAAACGTCATTAAGGGATAATAATATTAATCCATCATCAAATGGAATTGGATTATGTTATAAAAAAAATAATTAAATTATATCTGGCCTCTACAATGAACCGTGATAAGTAATAACTATAACAAGAATGTGAAAAAGCTTCCTAGTGTTTAATTTAACAATAAAAATATCATTCATAGTCCACTTACTATAAACCAAAGTCCTGCTGATAGGTCTCTGTTTTCCCCCTTCTCATTCATCTAATAAGGTATACTTTAGCAAATGTATATAAGAAATTAGGATTCTTTGCATTCATGGATTGATACATTCAAGAAAGTTCCATAAAAGAACGTAACTACAAATTAGAAATAGTTTTGAGAGCTTTTAAAAAGGTAATAAAGCTAGAAACATAAATGTCCTCTTTATTGAATCTACGGAGCATGAATCCAATTGCTTTATAATCCTAAGTGGGACCAAGTTAAAAAAAATCGAGGGATGGCTGTGAAGAAACAATATTACTCATCATATTTGCCATGACTTAATGATTTATATATCTGTGTTTCTCATGCTCATGAATATCAAGTAGGTGGAATATCAAGTAGGTGGAAAAAACCTATTGCGATTGAATGGCAAAGTATAGAACTCTTCATTTCTGCTATTTCCTTTAAACTTTCTGAACTTTGCCTACCATGTCATCCCTCTATCTTTCTTTGACTTTTCAACCTTGAGCGTTTTGTCAAGGAACACCACCACGATCAAAGCCACTGTGGCCGGCAATGAGAATATGGTGTTTATGAGTGTGTTGAACTACAAAGATGACACATTGTCACACATAAAAATGAGCTCTTGATGTTCAAAAATTTCAGCAACAATGCAGGGATGGTTTACTTCTATCTTAATCAATAATCTAAGCCTTTTAAGACAACTTTCAACTTATCCCATCAAAGGGCTTGAAATTAAATGCTCTAAATTAATAGAAAATATCTATTATCCAAAGAGAATGCAGTACAATGCAGTGAATATTATATTGAGACCAATATAGATGCAAAAACAGCTCCAAACTTTCTAGCAGAAACAAACAGAACTTTAGTTTAGCTTGTGTAAAAAAACCATCTGCCTACTCTGCTTTCAGCTTTGTCATCATATCAGATAACAACTAACTTGTTAAGCTCATATCATCAAAAAAGATGGGAAAATGTGAATGCAACCGTTAAAATTTTCCTCAAAAAATAAAGCTCCATTGCAAATAGTTCATGGCGTTGACAAACTCAATTATTTTTATATATTTTGGTATCTTTTATATGAGTTTTGTCAGCTTAATTAGTCTCTTTTTGCCTTAATTGATTTAATTTATTTTATTTTGAATTATTATTTTATAGGGGCAAAATTGTCATATTTTGGGTTAATTGTGAGTAATTGTTTTTTTTAGGACAGTTAATGCTACCTTACTTTTAAATTTTGTTTGCAGGTTTTTGGAAGAATTAAAAAAAAAAAAAAGAAGAAAAGAAAAATAAAATATATATATATATATATATATATATAACAATAATAAAAGGGGAGAGCAAAACGGAACGTTTTGCCCTCCCCCAACCTAATAATAATAATCACTCACACACACGCTGGGGGCGGCAGAAAAGCAAGAGAAGACGCCGAAGACAAGATACAAAAACAGAGCAAGCGGCGCACAAAGAAACACACACACGCGAGGCGGCTGGAGGGAATACACGGAAGGCAAGAGCAGAGCACGCCGAACGGAGCTGAATGCACGGACGCTGAAGGCGAGCTGGGCGCGGCTGGAGAAAGGACCAGAGAACACGCAGACGCAGACCAGCGAAACAGAGACGTGAACCATTCAGCGTGAACAGTGTTCTTCCATGGGATCCTGTAGCAAAATACTGATTGCAGCGAATTTGATGGCAAACCGTGGCTAATTCCTAATTCTCTAATTCAACAATAATGGCAGGAGCTTGGATCATCAAAGAGGAGTTTTAGTTGCTTTAATTTCCTACTCAATAATTGTTTAACAATTCCTAGGTCTTAGAATAGTTTTTCTAATTGTTGGGATAATTGTATTGCTTAATCTGATTATATTTTGGGATTATTGTGACTGGATTATTGTTTAGCACTTGACATTGGGCTGTTTATAGCTTTGATTTCAATTGTGATGTTGTGGTTATGACATTTGTATTGATTTTGGAGTTAATATATTGTGATTTTCTAAGGTGGCTTAGAATCTTGGATCATATTGTCTCTTGCTAGCTTTAAGTCTATTATTGTGAATTTAAGAATTTAATTGAGCATTGGTTTTTAATATCCTTAATTTCATTTTGCTATTCTGGTTGCAGTTAGTAATTTGAATTTTAGGAAAATATTTTGTGGCAACTCGAGGTGGCTCGGTTGTTGGATTAAAAGCTTAATTATAATTCTTAATTCATTGTTTTTAACTCCCACATCTTTTAGAGTGATGATTGCCTACGTTGTTGAATTGGAGGATTGATTTTTATCAGTGTTATTTGTGTGTCTCATTTTCATTTATTTAATCTCCATTCATTTTAATCACTTTTATATAAAAAACCAAAAAAAAAGGTATTTTAATTTCAATTTGATTCGCAGTATTTAATTAACAGCTTTTCAAAATCAAAATCTCTTTTTATAGTTTAGGTTACTTGCATTTATTTACTAGGGTTTAATTTCGTTTTCGGCTCCTCAAAGTGAAACGACCCGAGTTGTGCACTATATTGCATTAATTCGGTTAATTTTTGGAGTAACCCCAAAGCGACAATTAAGGGAAGTTCAACTTCAGGCGTGCATCATCCTTATCCTAAAAAATAGCATAAGGATGTGTCGTTATACATTTCCTGCATTTATTCACAGGACAGCATCAATTAATATAAATCTAATATTGGAAAGAACAAATTAACAACTAAAACCTATAAACTATTATTATTTATATATTAGAACTACTTTTTCATATATCATTACACTGAAAATATTTTGGGGGGGGGGGGGATCAAAAGTACTTCTGTTAGAGGTGCAAATTAAATATTCGCCAGACATTTAAAAGGCGATTGTGATGATTCCAACTTCAAGTAATAAACATCTCTTTCTTTTATCAGAAAAGGTATAATATCATTTAAAACAAACAGAACGACTCAAAGTTTAAAAGCAAAGAAAACAACAGAAACCCAAAAACTAAAAAAGAGCAGAAACAGGAAGGGAGAAACACCAAAGACAACACTGTGAACTGGATCACTCCTATAGCAGCAGCTGAGAACAAAAGATCTGGTTCACTCCTATAGCAGCACCTTAGAATAAACCGTGAGAAAGAAGGGGAGAAGATGAAAAATCTATCCAAGAACACACTCCCTTAATGCACTTGAAGCTGCACACCAAAACAACCACAAAACCAGGCAAGCAAAGATGAGCACAAGTTAACCATCCTTCTAGAGGAGAAACGAACAAACAAAAGAAGAAATTATTGGGATTGGGGGGCATAAAACCCAAGCTGAGCAAAAATCAACACGGAGAGCTAGAAGGTTTTTATCCTCTAGATTTCCAGTCAACCAATGACCAATCTCCAAAGCCAAAGCAGAAGCAAACCTCTCTTAAACAGAACAATCAATCCCAGCAACTACTAACACTAAATTCTTAAAATCAAATACAGACCAATGACATCCAGGCGGCACCCATCTTAAATCATCCTTAATTTTTAGAGGAGCCATTTTGATTGCCACTAAGAAACTAAACTTCTGGACCTTCCCTTCGGTAAAGATTGAAGCAAAGCAAACAAATGAGTTACCAATAAATCCCGAGATATCCTTGTCTTGAAAGGAAAACAAACTAAAGCCCTATCACCTTTGAGAAACTATGGCAAGCACTATCTCAAATAAAACCAACAGTACAAACTAGCAGCAACAATCATTTTGAACAGAAACCAAGGTTTTCCTCGTATTCCAAAAGCACCAAGAAGCATAAATCAGACCAACCAGCACAACACACACTTCATAACAAGCAATCAAACCATATGGCCAAAAGGAGTTCACAAAGAAACTATTCAAAGAAAGAGTATCAGATCTTGTTACCTCACAAGGCCAAGGCAAAAGAATCCCACATAACAGACTTACATCAAGAAGGCACTGGGAGATTAGCTTTAATTTGAGAATCATTGATCCATGGCTCATAGATCTATTTTGAAGAAACAACTCATTTTCTTCCAACACATAGAACTCTCCTTCACCCATACTCCTCTGACCAAAATAGCTTTTAGATTTCACCATCGCTGGTGCTATTCCCATTGATTCCCAATTTGCGCTCGGCCGCTCTGTTTTTGTCTTCGCCCTTCTTGTTGAGGCTCTTAGTCGTGCTGCCCACTGATCTTCCTCCTTCCAATCCCTAACCAAAAAAGCCTCAGAACTTGCCCTCATCTTCAGATCTAGCAAAATCTCCAACACACACACACACACCAACGCGCACACACTAGGTTCCCTCTCCCCGGCGGTGACGCCGATGGAATTTGCTCACCAAGGGGCGGTTTGTGCTCTCACGGGAGGTGAGAATTCGCTCTCACAAGAGGAGAGGTTTAAGTAATAACATCTAGTTTTAATTTTCTAGTTTTATATGCCAATTAATCCCTTTTTGTTGTAATTCTGATTGTGACTGATGCTTTTGAATTGCCATGACAGAATATTAGCAGTAGAATTAGTAAGGTGATTAATTAGTTGTAAGTGTTAGTAACCTAATTAGTTGGTAGCCTAAAAAGTCTATATATGAAGGTTTTGGAATGTGGCTTAGGTAATTTCTGAAGGTAGATGCCCTTTATTTCTGCTTAGCGACTTGCCATTCTCTTATGAGAACTGCTTGGAACTTCCACTGAATCCTCTGTATCAATGAGGACTGAGGATATTGATGTCAATGGAATAAGATCCAACACAATGGCTGAAAACTTCTTGTAGGGACACTAAAGGAGACATCATAGATCGTAATTCATAACAATTCAACTCTTTTCAATTAAAAGAAAAATTATTACTTTAGTAGAGTATTGGGGTTGTCTCTCTGTCAAAGAACCATTCAATGCCCAACACAAATCTGTTAGGCTACAAACACTAATGTGGATTCTATGAGACCAAAACCAAGTGATCAAGTTTGACAACACAGCTTGAATTGCAAAGTAGATAGTCATAACACAATCGGGTGACCAACTAATTTACAAACTTTGTAACAGACCAGAAATATAAGATCACTTAGGTGCATACGCCTGAATCACAATTCAAGAAAGTGATCTTTCTTCACAAACAAGATTGTCCAATTGCACAAAAATTAGTAGATATAAGCATCTTCACTCATGCAAAGGAGGCAGATACTCACAAAAAAATTAGGAGATATTGTCATCTTCACTCATACAAAGGAGGCAGATACATGCCAGCTGAGATATCAGAGGATTAATATATCTTCTGGTACGATATAATATTAAGGACCAGAGATAGTATCCTATTAGAATGAATCCAACCAATTACTTCAAGTAACATCTATTTGGATTAATGTACTAGTTTTATATGTTGATCTATTTTATGTTTCAATTCTGATTATGACTGACGCTTCTGAATTACAGTTCTAGTAAGTAAACTAAAATTGCTCTGAAGCTTTGGATGGAGCACATAAGAAGGCTTCATGTACAGTGACAAACTCAATTATTTTTATATATTTGGTATCTTTTATATGAGTTTTGTCAGCTTAATTGGTCTCTTTGCCTTAATTGATTTAATTTATTTTATTTTGAATTATTATTTTATAGGGGCAAAATTGTCATATTTTGGTTTAATTGTGAGTAATTGTTTTTTTGAGGACAATTAATGCTACCTTACTTTTGAATTTTGTTTGCAGATTTTTGGAAGAATTAAAAATAAAAAAAAAAGAAGAAGAAAAGAAAAATAAATATATATATATATAGCAATAATAAAAGGGGAGAGCAAAACGGAACGTTTTGCCCTCCCCCAACCTAATAATAATAATCACTCACGCACACGAGACGGAGAAGCGGGTGGCGGCGCTGAAATAGAAAACACACACACACGCGAGGCACACAAAACGAGTTGGAGGAGGGAAGCACGGACGGAAGGAAAAAAAACAGAGGCAGCGAACCAGCGGCGTGAAGGAGAGGATTCAGCGTGAGCTTCCACAGCGAAATCACTCCGGCAGATTCCATCTTCATTGTTCTTCATGGCTGAACCGAATTGGTTTGTTGGAGCTGTGGTTGTGATGGTTAAGAGTAGCTAAATCCTCCAATTCTCTAGAACAGTGTTTATGGCTTGAACTTAGAGCTTCAAAGGGGAGTCTCAACTCTTCTAATCTTTACTTCTTTCATTATAATTGTGATTTCTAGGTCTTAGAATGAATTTTATAATGTTTGAATGGGCTGTGATGATTTATATTTGTATTGAGATTGGTTGTAGTTGTTGGAATCTTTGATTAGCATTTAACATTATGCTGTGATTAGCTTTAATTTCTTTACATTTTACTGGGTCAGACTATGTTTTGAAATTATTGTGAACATTTAGTGGTAATTCAAGGTGGCTTGGTTATTGGACTAAAAATGTTAATTGCTTTTCTTTGATTTTCTTTTTGGCTAATTGTGCTGAAACAGTTTAATTGTGAATAATTAATATGCAAGGTGGCTTGGTGTTGATTATTCTAATTAAACCGAGTCTAGGGGGTGGCCCTTAGAGTCTTTTGAATTTAGCTAACTCCCAAATTAATTGAAGTAATGATAGCCTTAATCATTGTGCTAGAGGATTGCTCTTCCATTTGCTGTCACTTGTTAATTCTCTTTATTTATTTCATTCATATCCATTTTATAAACTAAAAATCCAAAAATTATTTACTCATTTTGCATCCTTTTAAATTTTGCCAATTAGTTAATTAAAAAGAAAATCAATCCCTTTCCAAGTCAATTCTTTATTTTTGATACTTAGTTGCTTAGGATTTCAAATAAAGGCTCCTCAAAGTGAAACGACCCGAGTTTTGTACTATATTGCATTACTTGGATTTATTTTTGATTGGGAACCCCAAGGCAAACGACAAAGGCTCTCATCAAATGGCGCCGTTGCCGGGGAGCCAAAAAAAAATTGATTCCCAAGTAACTAAGTGTCAATCTTTGGTTGACTTGGTCCTTGAGCTTTTTAGTTTTTGCATGTAGTTAGTTTTAGCATCCTTAGGTAGTTTTTCATTGCATTGCTTTCATTTGCATCAAAATTTTTAAAAATACAACCAAATATCTTGATTTTTTTTTTTTTGCATATAGATATAGACACTTGCATGCCTTTGCATCATAATGTTGGATCTACATCCAAAATTTGGCAAAAATCTGAGTTTTCAAAAAATTTAGTTTGCTGGAACTAAAAAATTTTTCGCCCAGAAAATTCTGAAAATTGGTATTCTAAAGATTTTGGGCATTTTAAGCAAGACTAATAGCTATGCTATTAGCCCTAGCAAATTTTGGCCAAATTCAAACGTTTTCCCTACTTTTTCTAATTTTCTTTCTTTTCTGGAATTTTTCCATATTTTTCTGTTTGTGTGTTTTTGTGTTATTTTTCTGATTTTTCTAGCTTTTTAGGATTGTTTTGAGTTTCTTTAGATTGGCTCTTGTTAGGAATTGATTGTGTGACTCATGGCTTGGTTTAATAGCAATCATGATCTACCCTCGCACTCTCACTTTTTTGCAGGAAATAGTACATGGAATGAAGCACCTTCTAATTCAACATGTTCTCAAGAGATTGAAGAGTTGTTACAACAGTTGGACTCCTTCCAAGCTCAGCTAGAGTCTCAAATGCCTAACCACATCTATACCCATGATCCCTCTTGGATGAACCATCCTCCACATCAATCACCTAACCCATCACTCCACCTCACCAACCATACTTTAATCATATATCTCTACCATATGCACACCACCAAGAACCACCTCCTTTTCCATATGAATACTACCACCAACCCTCGTCCCAATCCAAGTACCATTCTCTCCCCCAATCTCATGAACATCAATTCAATGAACCTGACCCATTTCTTACTATTCCTAAGAAGGACCAGATACAATTTTTAAGAGAAGCTTACGACCGCTTAAATTCATACTACCATGGATTACTTGAAGAGGTAGAAATATCTGGAATTTCTAAGGAATCAGAGGAAGAGTTAGAAGAATGTCAAAGTGCATTGGGAAAATTCTTGAGTGATATAGCGCAAATTGAATCTGGGATGGGGAAGGATGAATCAAAATATCCAAATTCACTCATGCAAGAGACTGAGATGAAGCAAGAACATCCACAAACTCACAAGGACTTGTGCCTTACATCAGGTAATATTGCTCCTCTTCTTGAGGAGATTGACCCTTGTGCTATAACTACTATTCCTGTTGAAGCTTTTGATAATATGAGTGATATTGAGGTGGATGAAGAAATTGTCTGTGAATCCCCTCATGTTTTTGAACATGCTAATACTCATCTTGTTGCTCTTAGTGGTAGTGATTTGGATGAAGATGCTGTTTTGTGTGATGATTCACATGCCAACCATGTTTCTCTTCCTAGTGTTGAAAGTGCTGTTATTGATAAGTATGAGAACATTAAGGTTGCTAAATCTTGTTTGAGTGCAATTATTGATGACAAATGTGAGAATGATCATTGCCTTGAGAACCAATTGCATGATAATTCCTTTGAGTTAGTAGCTTCTAGTGTTGTTGAGAAAGACTCTGAAATTTTGATTGACAAAATTATGCATGTAGATGAGTCTTTTCAACAAGTTTTGTCTTGTGATTTGCCTCCTGATTTAGTTAGCTGTGTCAATAGTAGTATTCTGCATGAATCTTCTTCTGCTTTCATTTTACCTCCCACCTCTTGTGAATGTGATAGTGATGTGCTGTACTCCAATAACTGTCAGTTGGATTCTTCAGTTTCCACGTCACATGAACCTAAGTGTTTCGAAACTTTAAATGATTGTTTGACTCCTACTGATGGGAGTATCATTGACTTTCTTGGATGCTGTAGCTATTTGAAGAGTCTAAATCATAAAATGTCTTTACTTTATTTGAAATCTCTCGAAGTCTATATTGTTAGATTTGGTACTGCTGCTAGTTGTTTTCTGTGCAGGCACATAATTGGAAGGGATCTCCTCAACACCAAACTCCACCATATGCTCTTGGACCTCTTTCAATTGACCCTGAGCCACCACCAAGAAAGTGCAATCATCAAGAGCAATCCTTTTTGCTAAGCTTCATGTTTCTCATTATTGATGAGAATTTCTCTTTTAAGAGTCTAAGGCGCTTTAAGCACAAGGTTGTCTCTTTCCTCACTTATTCTCTCTTAACTTTGCATCGATTAACTGTGCTTAACTGAATTATTGAAGAGGATAAGTGTGGGGGAGTTAGTCTAGTAGAAAAGTAACTTTGTTTTTGTTTACTCCCTTATTGATCCTCTTTTTCTCTTGTCATTACCTTGTCCTTGGATTTTGCATTGAGGACAA